GGGGTGGGTTGGTTTCTTTTAAAAATATTTTCCCCTCTTTTTGACGAGACCAATGTCTTGGCGCTGATGATAGATCTAGATCCGACCTGTTTGTATCTGGCTGGACTATTTGTTGAATGACGCCAGCTCGAGTCACATTTTCATCATGTTTTATTTGTGTGGGAAGTTTTTTTGATATCGTCGTCCACCTAATGGGCTCGGTTTGATCGGGGATGGACGTCCATTCTGTTCAGAGGGTTCCGCCTTGTAGAGATAACATAATAGTGGTAGAAGGAGCATCATGTAATAAAATTATATATTATACACAGCAGTACAACACGTGACATCGGCTTGGCGGTATCGCTTTTTTCCCCACCCAGTGTGTGTTGGGAGGTGGTTGGTGGGCGTGCTTTGCGTGCTTTGCTTACAGAGCGAAACATGTCACATGTGTACTGTGTCTGTCAGGGCGTTACAGGCTACTTGGGATGATAAACGCTTTTTTAACGGATGGTTGGAGGGTGTCACAAGTTGGTTCAACTGCTTTGCTCTACCTGTCGATTTTGTCTATATCGGCCTTACTCTTTTCCTAATCTTTCTGCTAAATGGCCCGTTATCATGCCAATGCGCTTCTCTGTGTGTGGACAAAAAACCGTCCTATCCTAATCTGGCTCTGCTTTTTTGCTGGTGATCAGTGTCCAGTCACCGTTCACGGGCAGTCTGTGTGTTTGTGTGTCGAGCGGCAATCACTGCAGGTCTTCTCTGTGCATTCCTAAAGTGTACACATGACGTCATATGTGTTTGTTGTTGCTCCTCACCGCCGCCCCCACCCCCTTCCTCCCCCACGGTCACCATCTCTTCTCCCTTCTAAAAGCCTGGAGGGAACTGTCACTGCGGTCTGGTGCTTGCTATCTCGTCCTCCTCCCACCTCCTCCCAGCACCTCCTCTTCCTCCCACCACCTCCTCTTCCTCCCACCACCTCATCCTCCTCCTCATACTCCTTCCTACTCCTCCCTTCTCCTACCTGCTCCTGTCACAGCGGCCCCCTCGGCGCAGCGCGGCACAACCCGGAGGTGTGAACTCGTGCATATTTCGGGGCGCGTTCACATAACCTCTAGTCGG